CATGCACGGGTGCGCAGGCTTCCCCTGAGTCCCCCCTTGTCAGGCAGTCCTTGTACACGCAGAGGGTCCACAAGACAATGCAGAGCATACACAGCAGAATGCCAGGCTGGAATCCAACGCCTTCAAACCTTGCAAACTCTTGTGACGTTGCGCGCTCAAGTGTTGAAGTGCTCTCTGCAGCTGAGACACCCTCTCACAGCAATCACAACTTCGAAGCTAAAGGGCAAGAGAAAGAGAGAGAGACAGCAAGAGCGGAGAGATAGAAAGAGAGAGTGGCAAAACGCGATCCTCAGGACATCCACATAATCACACCCGCTACATAGGGACAGCAATCCACGTCGGGGGGCTGCAACATTGTATGTCTGACCACAGGGGTCCCATAATCCTGAAGCCTAATCCCTATGCCTATACCCTACAGCGCATGGATCCGTGAAGCTGCCACTTGTCCAACCCGAGGAAGCTGTTGATATGATCGATCAGCGTGGCCTGTGCAGGATCCAGGTGCTGGGCGTCGCACCAGGGTTTAGGTCATTCGTGGCTCTTTGAGCACCTCTAGGCATTGATGCTTCCTCATATGCCCGCTCAGAACACACTCTGTTCTACAAGTAGTTCTTGGCCAAATCTTGCCTGTGTCGTGGACAGGATGAGAGCCTCATCGCCCATACAGACTCTTGATACCAGGCTGGTGTCTGCCAAATCCTGAGTTGCTGCGGTTGAAAGCTTTGGGCATTCGGGGTGAGGGTTGTGTGGTTCAAGGTCTAGGCTACACCATCCAAACATTTTTTTGGACCCATACGAGCTGACCAGCGTCATTTGGGATTCACAGTTGGTGATTTGCAGGTCATAGGGCTTTGCGTATACAAGGAGAATCTGTGCACGCAAGGTATGAAGAAAAGGGGTGTCGCCTCACCAAGTAAGCATGAAACGCCAGGGAGGCCTCTTGCAGGCTCCAGCTGAGGGCAGGGGCCACGGTTGTTTAGGTAGAGGATTTTGAGGCCAACGCCAGGGAGTTGGTGGTTGAAAGAAAGGTGCAGAGGCTAGTGATGAGCGAGAGAACATACTCACCATCAAAGAAGCCTGTTTGAAAGTCCCTTGCCTTTTCCGTGTAGCTCAATGCGAGCAGGCCTTCGAAAGGGTCCCCGCGTGCTGAGATTGTTTGACGTGAAGCACACCTAAACCGCCCTCTTCCATCCTTCCGACAGCGAACTGAGATTCCGCAAGAACGACCTAAACAGAACATCTAACCAAGAATCAAAGAATGTTCCTAGGTAGGAATCTAGCCCATCGGCTGTTGCAAATGGTCAACATTATGGTTTTCTGAAAGGTTAGAGGTTTAAGGCTTTCCGAAAGACGCGTACAGTATCCTTCAGTTGTACGGATTCTCGGGGGCTGCTCTCCATCGTGGGCAGTGCTTGCATGGAAAGCATGCCGCATGTGCATGTATGAGCAATGTTGGTAGATGCATGTCTTCTCCAAATCAGATAGTCCCCAATCGAAGGACAAGAAGGTACAGATATCCACAAGCCCCGAGACAACCGAATACTTCCTGCAAGCTAGGACTCCAAGTGTTTGAAGTCGTGCGCCACGCTTGTTCGCCAGACTTCCGCACCTTTTACCTGGTTTAGGGCTTCATGCTCTTCAGGGTTTCAAGGTTTAGGCTTGCTCACGCAATGCTGTAAAGGAAATAGAGTGCTCCAAGGAAACATTATCTTATTCAACTTGATGAAAAGCCCTTCGTGTCATTAGTATACCGGATCTGTATGAAATCAATCTGTGCATAAGTTTTTAGATTTGGCCATTCCCAAAGGCAACCCAGACTACCGCCGACCAGGTCGTCAAAGGCTTAGGCTTCAGGGCCTTGGGGCTAAGTGGATTCAAGTTTCAGATTTGGAGCGACTAAGTGCCTTTTAATCAACATGGGTGATAGAGGTGTTGAGGGTACTCAGTAATCATGACTTGATCACTTTCATATCCTATCCCAAATCTGGGATTCAGGAATCAGTGCTGCAGCTATGACTTAACTATGAGCCTGACAAGCCCTTGTCTTCGATTGAGGTTATGAGCCCGGTCAAGCTGTCAAGCTCTATACCCGAAAGCGGGCTTAGTATTGAGGGGTTAATGGTTTGAGGTCAGGGCACTTCAGCTACCACAGAAGCTCCAGCAAGGGAAACTACTGAACCTACTGTAAATCTTGATCCAGACCCCGTGCTTGGGGCTTGGGAGTTGCTAAGGCGTACTGGTTAGCATGAAAGCAAAGCATACTTTAATTGTGACAGCGCCCTTGCACCCCCAAATACAGAGACAATGTGCCCCAACCGTGCTGAGCCCTACACTGCACGGAACCTCAAAAACCTTAACGTCTAGTCTGCTCATCCCAATTCCCGAATCCTATAAGTCCTGAACCCTTACACTCCTTACACTCTAAACGCCCAGAACCTGAACCCTGGATCAAGGAACCTAATGGCATTGCAAGCCCCTGCCTTAGATTCGAAGTCATCGCCCATGAAGGCGCGAGTAAGCCTGACTGCTCTGCCGCAGGTACGTGGATGACACTTTAAGCTTTCACAGCGGCCTGAATTAGAAGGTGGCTCTAAGGCCCCATATAAAGCATACAAAAACTGCCCTATGCGGGATAATGATTTGCATTGCGGGGGTCTGAACAACTTCAACCTGAGTTCAGGATACATTTGAAGGACAGAAAGTATGGTGAAGCTATACAATCAGGGTCTTTGTGATAATTCCGGAATTAGGCTTTCGGGAATCCGTTTTTGTGTTTCGAAGTGATAGAGTTCGAAGTATGCGACATTTGTACGATCCCTCTTACTAGCCTCCTCCACTGGATTTCACTCTCTTACGACTTGCATATACCTCCGAAGGCTCATCAGCCTTTGAACACCCAGAGACCCGGAGCACCAAATGCGAAACCCTAGCCCTGAAACGCTCACAACCCAAAGAGACTCACATGACCTACACTTTTCAGGGCTGAGGGTTTGTGGATTAGCGATGTTCAAGTCCGCCCATGATGGGCAACAAGCCCAACCAAGGTCTTCCGAAGGATTTCATGCAATAAGACGAGTACAGGCTCCAGGACTCTCGCTGATGTCGCATTTCTACTTTGGGTTTAGCGTTCCGGACAACATGACCCTCTGCGGATATTAGGGTAGAGTTGAGTTTCCTATTGAGGGCAGGTCCTGTCAGAAGGTCACCACCAAGAGTCTGCGGAGGACCCTGACCCACTTTTAGCTCTAAGAGCCCCTTTGCAAGGTGCTCTTCAGATTCATTGGAATGCAGAGAACCGATTACACATGGGCATTGAGTTAGGGCGCTTGCCTGCAATCCTCTAAGCCAAGAAGCAAGATGGCAGAGAATGAGGCCTGCATGGTAAGGTTGAGGACGACCAAGGCAGCTGCAAAGAGGCTGTCCTTGTTTTGTAGCTACTTCAACCAACACTAGACGTCTCTACAAACTAATTACAGGGCGAATATGCTGCAAGGTGGCTGCAACTTAAAAAATTTCCAACCGTTGCAGAGCACATGTTAGGGCATTGAGTAAGTGGCTAGGGTTCAATGCTTCCGGTCTAGAGGACGGCGCAGGGTGGCCTATTCAAAGTTGCATGGATGGAGCAAGGCTTAAGGAGAGGTATTCATTGGTTAGATAAAGATGAAAATGAAGGCTTTGGGGCTGGGGTTTAAAACTTTGCCAGATTTCTCAGAAACACGAGAATGTTCAGGAACACCAGGAAGGTCAGAGTTAGTTCATTGGGCAGCGAAACTTCTGCTAGAATTTAAGGTCCATGGTTTTCCTAAACACGAATGCAACCCCAAGATCAAAAAACAAACGCCGAAGCCTCCAATCTCGCTGCACTGGGATCATTGGGGAATGCAGCCTCAAAAGCTCCTTCAACTCTTTTGCCACTCTTTTGGGGGTACGGCTAGGGACTTCAGGTTTGGGACCTCAACTGGAAATGTGGCAGGGATCTTTGCTATGTCGTCCAAACAGTCGCGCCGTTATTTTCGTTGTCGCCCAAGCTTCCCGTTGAAGTACGCGCAGCGCCACAAATCTGACGATTTCTTGAACATGCGATTTTTTGGATGCCTCATGTTATCACTACTAAATCATTCTGTTTTTCTTGCCCATGGTTGGAAGCTTACATGTGAAACATGCCAGGGCTTCTTACCGGGCGTTTCCATACCGCCATCGAAAGCAACTGTTTGGAAAGTCATCAATTCGACAAGGGTTGTGAAACCATCTAAACATATTCACACAAGCTGGCACTAAGCTGACGCCCTTAAATACTGGATCCCAAACCCTAAACCCTAAAGCTTGCACACAACGCAGTTCCGAGCATCGACCCAACCCAGGCTCTGCTCTTGGAGGCCCAAAAGCATAGGCACAGTCCAAATGCTCTCCTGGAGGTTGGTCTCAGGTTTACGCAGGGTCTAGGGATTGGGAATTAGGAAGTGGACTCCTAGGATTGAAGGTTTGTCGTCGAGAAATTATGTGCAGGCTGCATTTGGGTTTTCTGAGTGTTTCGGATTTAGGGTTCAAACACCCATCTGTATGAAGCTCTAGCTGATAGCCACAACACTACTATGTTTGTGACAATTCCTGCGGGCTACATGATGCTACAGTAATGCTACAGATCGACAACTCAGTAAACTATTCTATAGCAAACCCCAAGCAGCCGCAAGCAAGGACTTGCTTGGTGGAAGGGAGGAGAGCCCATAAACAATTCTTGCTTCAAAAGAAAACCACTGAACTCAATGAACCCAAGAAGGCCTTGGCAAGAGATGATAGCCGCTGGACCCCTCCTTTCGCCCCCAGCACTGCCCCAACATACCCTCGGCATCCCATACCTTTTGCAGAAATTGAACGCCGATACCTGGAGCCCTTACCGCTCGCGAGAACGCGAGAGCTGAAGGCGCTTGCTCTGCTACAGAAAAACCGGGAAAGTGATATGTCACAGTGGCCTTTGTATGGCTTCTTCGTGGTTGCGTGCCTTTGAGGGTAGCCCCGCAGATTGTCTCCTCAAAGCACACTTCCGTTATCTCCTCCACATCCACTTCACCTAGGAAGTTAAGATTTCAGGACATGCGGGAGAGGGAGATTTGCAAAAGCATGGTGCGCCCCTTTGCGGACTTCAGCAGAAAGGTACGAAGGCACAGGATCGGGCAAAACCAGGAAAACATCTGTGGCAGAACCAGTTAGAGTGTCCCTGATGATGCGTAGCGCCTTTCTGGGGCCGACAGTTCCCGTTGCTTGTCATGTCAGGTGAGGCTTCTCATCTCGGCGGAGATTCCCAGTATGTGCAAGGGCTAGCAGGAGGTTCCGAAGGGTCCAACTTTATGGATTACATGCATTCTTCTGAGAATAGTCAAGAGCTTCATTGTCTGAGGCATGCGCTTACACTACCTTCAATCCTTGGCGACCACCTGCAGCTCATGTTGGCGGTAAATATCCGGGGTTTGGGGATGAGGTTAATCAAGCTGTAGGGTTCAGCCAACAAAATGACAGCTCTTCAGCCATTCGCGTTCGCTTACCTTGCACTTCTCCTGCAATGTCTACTGAAACCAGAAGCCTAGTCTCCCTTGATCGTGTCCACTATCTTGATCTCGGATTGTGTCGGTGTCTCATTCGCCATGTTCATGTTCACGTTCTCGTTT